TATCAGAACTGGGAATTGAAAACATTCAGGCATTGGAAATACATGCCTTTTTATGATGAGCGTTAATTAGACGTTTCTGGTAAATGAGAAAACGGATCAACCTGGAAATTTTACAGTAAGTATGCATAAATCCATATGATCTACACGTCTAACGTGATATTATAGACGAGGTTAGCGCTACCGCTTCTACTATAAAGAAGTAGCTATTTTGATTTTTCAAATTGAACTCCCTGTATACAATATCACGGTATTATTTCTTATCACTTTGTCAATAGCCTCATGTACTATCGCCCTATTCCTATCTGTTACCGTGTTATTGCTCAAAAACAGATTTGTTTATGAACAGCTATCTTCAACGACTTGTAATCGATATTTTACCCTTCAATAACTGAAAAAGATTCCATTACATGAATTTTCATTATTTATTCACTCATATAAACTTCCATGTATTACTTCTCTCTCTCTATACGAGGTAAAAAACAACCCTGTATCATTTCTTGAGAACAAAATATTTACACTTCATACCGCTGTTCCATTTTACTCTAAAATTCATCTTCGACAGAAAAACAAATGTTCAGAAAGTTGTTCAAAATAAACGAGTTCACAACCATCACTTATATAAAATTAATGCACTCTTCAATATCCAATCTTCAGAGATATAAAAAATCGTGGAAAATTACGAACTACACCAAAATCAGTCATTTTTAGTTCGGAAATGGTGAGCACAGACCGATAATCTATTTCGATATCATCTACTTAGCGCATAATTTCTTTCGGTCAAGCAAATGAAAAAAAAATCATCTAACGATTACATTTATAATAATAATAAATAGAGGTGACTCAAAAACATTCTGATAGTAATTTCACTAAAACTATAAGCAGGCCAGTACCAATAGACTCTGCTCCATAAACCAAATCTTCGAAATGAAATTATGCTCTTCTTCGTGAGTATGGTCCAAGCTTCAAATCGAAAAGCGGATCCCACGTCATGTGCCCATCATCAGGTTTGTGTGAATTTGTTCTTCCTCCTGTCCATATTGCGGCTAATCTTCGTGAGACATCATCCATGCCCAACACATAGGAATGGACAACTAATTCATCCTGGGCAGAAAGCTGATCAGTCGTTAGATCCGTCACTTCCTTCGGTGAACCGATCATCACTTTGGCAGATATTTCTACCCCATTACTCGTTATGGGTATCTTGAGTTCGTCGAGACAAATGCGTCTACCCTTCAATAAAGTACCGTTCAATTGTCTGTAAGCGGCTTGTAAGTCAGATTTTGAAGCGAAATCTACGACTCCCATGTTTCGGTGTAGATTATGTGCCTCTGCAAATGTAACGTTTCCAGAATTACGCATGTGATCTTTGAGATCTTGCCAACTGACGCGATCAGATATATTTGAAATGAGCAACCTGTAAGGGGTGCGGATCGGCGCCCAACAGGAATGATTGGACCGAGTTGGCTTAGAGAATCTCTTACTCTGGAACGGCAAAGAAGATGCACAATTGGAAAAATGTTTTTTTTTCCAAATCGAATCAATCCTGGCTTTTTCGAGGCGAATTCGTTGACCCTTCAACACAGTATGATTCAGTTGTCTAAAAGCGGCTTCCATGTCTGGATGAGTAGCGAATTCGACAGTTCCGATATTGCGATATGGTGTGTGAGCCTGTCCGAAAGTAACTCTACCGGCATTTCGCATATAATCCTTCAGATCTTGCCAGCTGACGGCGGAAGACAGATTTCCTACTATCAGCTTATGCTGGGTACGTACTGGTGCTAAACTCAATCTACGGGAAAAACGTAAACCTCTATTCTCAACACAATCATCATCATCATCATCACAATCCCGCTTCTCTTCACTATCTGAAGTCGAACTCTTGAAAGAAGTTGAACCGATGGAGGCATCCAGTTCCATGAATTTTCCAATGAAGAACTTTATTTCTGCTTTAACTTCACAAGAGGTAACTCTATGACAGTCATTGAATCTGTTTATTTCCTGAAACGATGAAGGTGTTCCAACATATGCCCTGTCGAATTGTTCGAAAAAGAATTTCACTTCCTTTTCCATCTTTTGAAACGTTTCGAATACTGAATTCCACTTTGTACTTCAACAACAAATAGGTTCCACTAACGTTTGATATACCAACTATTAGCTAACACTTTCACATCAAACTGTTTTGATTTGTAAGCAAAACGACCTTTTATACTATTCATGAACTCGGTGAACCATTACCTATATTGTAGGTATAATTGATTTCTACCTGCTCTTGATTGAATATAGTGGGGATTTCAATGATTTCGGGAATTGTTTGTGTTACCTGATTTTCTTGGTAGAGGGAGAAGTCTTGTAATATACTTTCATACTCTGGTCAACAAGTGCTTTTTTGGTTCAAGCATTTTACGTGTCTCTGAAAAATATGAACAAGGTTTCTTTCGATTTGGAATATTGTTGAAGATTTTTGAGAAAATCCAAGTGCCGCTTGCAAAAATTGCAAAAGTAATAAACAATCAACTGAAAAAAAATTGATTTTGATTCTTTGCATATATTTCAAGAACTATTATTTGACATTTTCAAATCTGAACGTCTCGGAACTGTAGGACAAATATTCATAATTTTTGCAGAGTGTGGGCAAGACATGCCCACTTTGGAATTATTATAAGAAAATATTATTTCAACTTGATGAATATAAGAATTGGGAATTGGAAAATTTAGACACTCACTTGATATACAGGACTTTTCACGATAAGCGTTAATTAGACGTTTTGGCAAACCACACAACGGATCAGCCTGAAAATGTTTTAGAATGAAAAATTCATCAAAACCAAGGAAATATCAAATTCAACAAAAATTCGGGTAATCTTGTACTCTCTAGTACTAAGATGACCAAATTCGAAATGGAGTGGTTTGGTTAGGTTAGGTCCAAAGTGAGTGGGTCTATTCAACCCTCCACCGCAACCCGCAATGGTTTGTTGTGGCTCACACCTATTCACACTCGGTCGAATAAACCCAGCTGTTTAACGAAGCCGATTAGTTTGTACGGTGAGTGGTCTTTCAGGTCTCATAGTAAGAGTACGGCTCTGCCGAACTCTAAAGATCTGATTCGGTCCCCAGCCGGGCAGACACAAAGTATATGCTCTGCCTCTGGTTTCGGTGGATCATCACTCGAGGGCAAACGTTTGCTAACCTGCTCATGGGGGGTTTGTTCCCCCACCTCAGTCGTTTCCTGGCTGCACTACCAAACCTTTTTTTTTAACGTTCAGTTGTTAGATCTGGAGTTGGGGAGTTGAGAAGCTTTCGCTCCTGAACTTAATTTACAGGGAGGTCAGTTGACGTCGTAAACTCGACATCCATCTCCTCTGTAGACTCGCTCCTGAAATAAATTTACAGGGAGGTCAGTTGGAGTCGTAAACTCGATATCCATCTCCTCTGTAGACTCGCTCCTGAACTAAATTTACAGTGAGGTCAGTTGGAGTCGTAAACTCTACATCCATCTCCTCTGTAGACTCGCTCCTGAACTAAATTTACAGGGAGGTCAGTTGGAGTCGTAAATTCGACATCCATCTCCTCTATAGACTCAGCATCGGAAGAAGTTTTTAAGTTTACTCTGCCCATAAAAGTCCCACGAGTAGCTAGGGAAAGAAGGTTAATCACGGCAGAGCCCCGCAATACTTTGCGGGGCTCCCGGAATCTCGAAGGTACCGTCTGTAGTGACAGCTGATAGGCTCAGTGTCATTCATCTTCTTGGCATGGATACACACACCTTGGGAGTAAGTAACCTATCGTTGGGATGCCATTCAGTTAGGAAATAACAAAATCATAAGTGATTCTGTCATTCTCGCACTCGCCGAAAACAGCATGCACAATGGTGAAAATATACAGGGTGTTCCATTTGAAAATGTTCACTTCCACTCATTTCTTCATGTAATCAAAGTATCATTTTTATAAAGACCCTGTATGTAGTAAAAGAAAATATGAATGGAAGTGAACATCCTCATAGTATTATTCCACCCCAGTTCAAATTTGATCGTCTTAGTACCTACCAGAGAGTTCAAGATTATCAGCGTTTACAAAAGTACATGTTTGGTAAGCTTTTTCATTATTATTTTAACTCACAAGAAATAGTACTCGAGCGCATTGTCTTAATTCCCCAATATTCGGAAACTCGCAGCGTAAATAATACCCTCATCAAAACTCTTCTGAGTGTATAAGCTTAATGTAGTAATTATATACACTGATGGCTCCAAAATTGAGTTAGGTATAGGATGTACTTTTTGAGTTTCATCCACAAAAGTGGCTCACAAATTTCGAATATTGTAACGGTACTAATTTGTTTCACAAGGTATAATCATTCGTAAACGGCAGAATAAAAATTTTCAAGCACCCGTAGGTCCCTCTCTCCTTTTCGTTTGTAATCTGTTTGTTTGTAATTTCAGATTTAAACTATTGTTGTTTACTTTCATCAAATTGATAGACAGTACATTTCCAATTGTTATTGAAGTAACTTCAATGTAGATGGAGTGCGATGTACTACCGTGCCGCAAACTTCGAAGAATCCCTTTCAAACTCCTTTTAAATATATTTCGGCATCCTACTGGCTAAATCTTGCACATTTCAAGTTTTTTTTTGTAGAACCGTTCCCTATGAAAATATATTTTCATACTAGCAACACACCTAGTAGTCAAGGTCATAATTAAAGATCAACTACTTTATCCCTGAAGAAATGTTGATATTTCATTTCATATTATATTTCAAATATCTTAGCGGAGTTGTCTTTGAGAGGAAATATTCCCCATAGTATTAATCCCCGATTTTTCCAACCATTCCGTAAATTCTTCCAGTTTGGAAAATTCATTTAAGTAATTTGATATTTTGAAACAGCTCTATTCGATTGCCCATTGGTTCATCACACTTGTCCATGACGGATGGTCATGCGCTGGAATTCATATTATTCCGTTTCAATATGATTATCCTACGGATTCCATTTTTGAGGTTGCTTTGTGAAGGTTTGAAGAAGACTCGCCTGGAAAATTTGTTTATAGAAACATCTCTTTGAGGATTATTTCCGAGGGTCTTCTCTTAGTGAAAACAGTGGCTAGTTTTGCTTGCATTTGATGTAAATTGGCTTTTCACTCTCTTTAGAGGATAATAGAACTCCGCGTAAGTGACATCAAATCTTCCCCGACTTTTCAGCATCGCCATTTTGGACCTTCAACTTATGTACTTTTTCCTTCCTCTTATAGGACCTGTTGTCGTTTCATAACTTTCTTCAGTTGGTATTCACTATACTATCGGTTGATACTTTACTGGAAAAAATTGAAGACATTGCCCAAAAGACTGTGAAATAAAATTCCGATTGGGATTTTTGGAAAACCCTTGCGAAACTTGAAGGTAGGTTTCATCATGTTTTTTTCTTTTGTATATATCATAATAAACGTATACTTGTTTGACTTTCACGAGCTTGTGATACATTCCTGTTTTACTTTCTTATTTTTACATGTGAGAATAATCACAAAGGTTATACATTATTTTAATGAATCGGAAACAATTCATTCGGATTATTCGTAATTTTAAAGTAAATTCGGTTAGTTGGTTGATATTTCAATAAATATCAATGTTAGAATTTTTTTTGAGTTAGGAAGACATTGCCAATTTTCTTAAATTTCGTAGGAGATTATTTCCCATCAAAAGGTGAATTTTATTTATCAGGATTGGTAGCTACGAAGTTGATTTGAAAAAAAATATTTTCACTATTTCTACAGTCGTCCGAATGTTTTTTTGTTGCTTTTTGTTCCATTTGTTATCAGCATAGATTTTGTCCTGGCCTTGTGATTGAAATCACTAGCGAAATATGTATTAGTTTTTTTGTAAATTCTCATTATATTAATTTACAGTTCAGGGAAACATTTGGCCAGTAATTTAATTGAATAGTTTATTTTTTCACATGGAACTTCCTTCGAGGGGATTTATTTTAGACTCTAGGAAAGGAAAGTGAACAATATAGGCGACAATTAATGTTTCCCTTGCTCAGTTTTTCAGCTTATACCGGTAAGCTGAAATGTGTTGTTTTTTACCAAATGATTATTCAGTTTTATTTTCGTTATTGAGTTTAGTTACATTGAAAATACTTATATGAGTAATTTTGTTAAATTTTTCACGCCGAGGTTGTCAGATTTCATAGAAAGCACAGAATTTCGTAAAATAAAAATAAAAGGAATCATTATTTTTGTTGTCCTGTCTAGAGAAAAAAAACAATTCATTTTTTTGTATTGCTTCATTGAAAAAAAATACATGCAACGACTATTTTCATCGGCCAGTGAAAGGTTTTTTGTATATAAATGCATTTAGTTATATTCAAATGGGAGAAATTCTAATTCTTTGAATTCTTCTTAGGATTTTATGGGGTAGTGCGGAAGCTGCATTTTTTTACATTTGGGAACATCCATTAGCCGAATCTAAATGAGAGCTGTTCACTCAAAAGTGGGAAAATTATAGGAGAAGGACTTTGTTTTTTTTTTCTACCCTGAAATTAGCGGAGTCAGGGGCTTCAACCTTGAGTTTGACACTTCAGGAGATGTCAAGCCACGCAAGTAGACAGTGAATGATTCGTCGTTTTTTTAATAGTTCTTTTCTCGCCACTTGCCATCATACAATTATATAATAGAAAATACATTGTAAAAAAACGGTAGAAATTAGTGTCATACTGATGATTTATTTTATTTTTGACATACGTGACACGTGCCTTTCGCTCTGGATCCAAAGCTAGCGGCTATTTAATTTTGGTGTTATTCATGGTTTCTTTTGGTTATATTGGAACCTATATTAATTTCTGCCAAAGTTGATCGTGACTCAATTACAGTTCAATTCCAAATGCAAATTGTATGTCCGTAGATATTATTCATTTATTCATTTATATGAATTTACATTCTGACAAATAGTATGATATTTCCGTGGAAGTATTTATAATAAATCAGATCATTAGGTAATTTTTTTTCTTATTGGTGATAAATCAGTTCATTATGCAAATTTTTGTGACAGATGTGCTTGAATTCATTTGCTAATTTAGGAACAGAGTTCAGACAAAAATTCGGAAGGGGTAAAATTACCTGTCGCCCAAAATTAAAATTTAACTTGCATATTTCCCCACTACGGTCTTCACTCAGCTTATATTAAAAAAATCAAAAAGACAAATGACGAGATAATTGGCATAACTATACTATCAAATCTAATAATCCTTATTAGAATGTGTGTTAGGAATGACACGTTAAAAGGTCAGACCTCGTTAGTCCTTAGCTCGCACAAGTTTCTCAAATTCTGAGAGTTGTCGTTCGTATGGGGGCGACAGCTGATAAACGGAAAAATAGATTTTAAACAGACAAATTTTGTTAAACCCCGATTCACCCCATTCTTCCCAAGGCAATTCCACATATTGAATTATACAGTGCATTCCTTTAATGTCCCCCCCTTTTATTTTTTGAACGAGTTAACCCAAAAAATTTAAATTTGGGATAATTAAATAAATTCAAGAATACTTTATTTTGAAGTGAAATTGATAGATGAAACTTTCAAGATGGCGACTGCGTGCCATCTGGGACAAAAAATTAAATAGAAAGGGGGGTCTTGTGACACATCTTTTTGAAGCTCCTGGCAAATGCTTCACAACCCTAGAATATGTCAATATGTTCAACTACTACAAAATAACGGAACTTTTAATAATTGCCTGAATCCTAGCACACACACGCAGGAAGTAATAAATTAATTTATTACTTCTGAACGGTAACAGATAAGAATAGGGAAATACTACATGAAGTTCTTGACAAAGTGATAGGAAATCATAAAATGAATTTATATACAAGTAATCAACACTTTTCAACTTCTGAAATAGGAACGTTGGAAGTGCGATATTGTTAACTAACAAATCTGAGTTTTTTTTCTCTGGAGNGAAATCTTCGAATTGAAATTATGCTCTTCTTCGTGAGTATGGTCCAAGCTTCAAAACGATAAGCGGATCCCACATCATGTGCCCATCTTCAGGGTCGTGTGAATTATTTCTACTTCCTGTCCATATATCGGCTAATTTATGTAGGACATCATCCATGTCCAACAAACAGGAATGGATAAATGACACGATTATCCAGCCGAAAGCTGATCATTATCTGTAACACAAACTTCCTCCTGTGATAGATTGGAAACGAGTAACCTATAAGGGATACGGATTGGGGCCCTACAGGAATGGCTGGACCGAGTAGGCTTGGAAAAACTCTTTCTCTGGAACGGCATAGAAGATGCGCAATTGGAAAAATGTTTTCTTTTCCAAATCGAATGAATCCTGGCTTTTTCGAGGCGAATTCGTTTACCCTTCAATACAGTATAATTCAGTTGTCTGAAAGCTGCTTCCATGTCTGAATGAGTAACGAATTCGACAGTTCCGATATGGTTTATGAGCCTGCACGAAAGTAACTCTGCCGGCATTTCGCATATACTCTTTTAGATGTTGCCAGCTGAAGCCGAAAGACAAATTTCGTACTATCAGTTTATGCTGGGTACGTACTGGTGCTAGACTCAATCCACGGGAAAAACATAACCGTCCATCCTCAACTCTGAAAATAGAAAGAACTTCATCTTCATCATCACCGTCCCGCTTCTCTGCACTATCTGAGGTCGAGGCATCTCATTCCATAAATTTTTCAACTTTACTAGAGGTAACTGTATCACAGTAATTGTATCTGTTCATTTCCGGAAATGATGAAGGTGTTCCAACGTACGTCCGAATACTCACTTCTACTTTGAACTTCTACAGCAAATTGGTTTCAGTACCAAAAATTGACGAAACCTTTTCAACTCCAGAAAAAATTGTTCACACTCCAACGATTAGCTAACACTTTCACATCAAACTGTTTTGATTTGTAAGCAAATCGACCTTTCATACTATTCATGAGCTCGTTGAACCGTTACCTATATTGTAAAATTGATTTCTATAAGAAACTCATGCTTGAATTGTTCGTGTTACCTTATTTTCTCGCTACAGGTAGTAAACTTATAATATTCTTTAATACTCTGGTCAACAAGTGCTTTGCAGGTCAAACTTCTCCTCCTTCTCCAAAAAATATGAACGAGGTGTGTTTCGAATTGGAATATCGTGTAAATGACTTTTGAAAAAAATCAAGTGCAGTTTGCAAAAATTGCAAAAGTAATTAACAATCAACAACAAATGATGTTTGGTCAAAAATTGAACTGCCCCATTAATGGTGTATTTCAATACATCAGCAGAAACGCCCGACGAAAATATCAAATTGATGATAATGGTAGCAAAATAATGTCAATAGTATCTTTCACAATCTTACTATTTCAACTATATACATTCATGCAATTTGAATTTTTCAAGTAACGGTGTCAAGAACTTTTTCAGGAGCTACTAATGCGAAAGAGTCTTTGAACTCATCTGGAGTAGTATCGTCAGTAGGTTGAAATAAATTAATTTTATTCCTCTCATAATTGACAATCCGCCAACAAGCTTTGGATTTATTGTCAAAGGAAACGATGTACTTATCATTTGCTGCTTTTTTGCCTGCTTCAGCTGTTTTTTTTATACAGTCTTGAGATTTTTGTAGGTATTCCAGTCATTTTCATTATCATTAATATTGCAAATATATTTCACCTCAGTAAGCTTTTTTCTCATATTCCTGAAGGAGTCGTTATACCAAATTACCGGAGACTTTATAATTTCGAAGTATTTTTTGAGTAGAAAGAATTAATTTACGTTTATTTGCGTAGACATGAATGACCAGAGTCGTCAAATGTCGGAGTCGGATAAATTTAAGGTTAGTCACTTGTTTGTGATGTATTTATTATACTCTGTTATTTCCTGCTCTGTAATTGGGCTATGTCCCGTAGAATATTGTATTACAAATAAATAAATGAATATATAAGTAGTTGACATCATGTTTCTCATGTCCAATTAAAATTTGCCAGTTTTTTTCAGTTTCGCGATTTCTCAGTGTGATACATCTCTGATATGCAAAATGAGTAATTTCAGATTGTGTCCTATAGTATACGAAATATTGACCCAAATGGTTGGAGTTTCGTTTCTGGCGTGGTGGTGGACGGATGTGCTGACAGCGATCGTCCACAAAGAAGGCACGCGGACGCCATTGTTGGGGACGAAACTCAGTTTGTGTTGTGAATATCTGCCATCAATAAATTAAAAGTATTTTGTGAAAGTTTATAAGTGTAATAGAGAAACAGCACTCCCATTCACGCCGGTTGGAGGCCGGAGTTGACCGGATGTCCACGTGGGAGTGTTACAGTGGATGTATATTACTCCTGTCCCCATTCACGCCGGTTGGAGGCCGGGGTGGACCGGATGTCCACGTGTGTTATTATTTTTGAAATTTATTTCAAAGTCACTCAAAATAACGACTTATTTGTTAGTTGATGGATAGTCTGATTGATGCCCTCGACAGAAGAAAAGTTGATCTGCAAGCATATGCAGATGACCTTGTCATCTTGGCCTACGTCTACGTCGGGAAGGATTGCCTGTAAAATTCTCCAAAGCACGATGGAAGTTGTTCACAATTTTTTCTTGAGGGAGCAGATGTCTGTCTGTCAACCTCTGCAAAACTGTGATAATAGCCTTCATCAGGAGGAGAAAATTGGACGATCTAACGCCACTTTTCCTCAATGGTGTGGTCATTCAATTTGGAACGGAGGTGAAATATCTTGACATTGTTCTTGATGAACAACCCACATGGAACGCACACTTGAAGGCTCTACAGAAAACGGCCCAGGCGAAGCTCTCTGGCCTACAGAGACAAGCTTGTCTGGCCATTAGTACCACACCGTCAGCGGCCATTAAGATCCTTCTAGATCTACCCCTTCTCCACATTTTTCTGAAGAGAGAGGCTAGATGAACTGCATATAGACTTGTGCACATTGCCAATTGCACAAATCAATTTAATGCAGAGTGCAACATTCTGTTGGTCGATACTGGAAGTCAACATTCTGATAATGACCTCTGACTTTATGCCTTCAACTGTCAACTAACTGCCTTATAAAGTACTGTTCCCGAGTAGAGAGGACTGGATCCTCCGGGAGAAGGAAATATCAAGGGCAGATACCAGATTAAAAATAGCTTCCGGTTCTGGTGCAAGTGTTTTTAGTCGCAGACTCAGGTCAGAGATATCAACCTGTCTAGGAACATATACGACTGTATTTCAAGCGGAAATTTACGCTATTGAATTGTGTGCGAAGAGATTGGAAGAATCCAACCTCATATACAAGTCAATAAAAATATTCTCGGACAGTCAAGCGGCGTTGGAAGCTTTAGGCTCCTACCGAGCCACGTCTAAATTGGTATCAAATTGCCAAAAACGACTCTCCTCGATAGGAATACTTAACACATTGTCTCTGGTCTGGATTCCTGGCCATATTGGCCTGGAAGGCAATGAGGCTGCTAACTCTCTTGTAAAGGAGGGTTCTGCAAGCAGCTTCACCGGACCAGAACCTGTCATTGGCATCGCTTTAGGCTTTTTTTCACAATTTTGGTATTTGAAATACTCCTAGATGGCAGTGACCGTATTGAACTGAGTTGCTCTCTGTTCAAGTGTCATCTTGTTCCGGCGTTCGATTTTCAAAATGAAAAGAAAGCGTACTCACGGTGTCAAGTTCAGTTTTTATTGAGATCATGTCCGCTGTCACACATATCATC